TGGAATGCTGGTTCTTCTCTACCTTAGAAATAAAAAAAAAAGTATTTTTTTTATATCTGTCAATTTAACCTTACAACTAACTACTTTTGTTTTTTGTTCAAATAGCAATTTAACTAGCATAATTATTATGATAAAAAAAAACCAGTGCAAATCACATTAATTAATAATATTTACGTATTGCAGCGGAAAGTAAAGTTTTGGAAACTTCTTCAGTTTTACGTCTTCTATCATCCCCAAGCTGGGTCATTGAATCATTCCCAAATAATTCAATACCGAGAGCTGTAAAAAAAAAATAATAGCATTGTTGATCAGAAATAAAAAATGATTTCTATAAACTGTAATGTTTTTTTGTACAGCTCGCAAGTAGTTTTGAACCTAAAGGATTCAACATTAGTTGATGAGAAGCGAATGTCAATAGGGATTTTTAAAATTAATTTATTATATGTAAATTTATATTTTCAATACGCTTACAGTTATTTATCAGTATCTTATAGAACTATTAGTGAAGAGTGGTTAAATGCTAATTATATCCACCCAAAAAAGAGGTGTTGTAACATTTTATTCGAGCAAAATATTTTTTATTAATGAAGGCTATTAAAAAAAAACATTTAATTATACGTTATTTTGCATACGTTAGTTAATAATTGCTTGATTACCTTGGTTTCGGTCAAGTGGAGGAACAGGGATATCTGTAAGAAATATAAAAAAATGTAATTATTTTACAGTAAACTAAAACCATTTAAACAATTTCAAATGTTGTACACTGATTTGTATTATATTTCACACGTTCATCAAGACTTGAACCAAAAAACATAGTATAACTTAAGTGATCAATTTGAAATTCTAATAATTTATTATATATTTATCCTTTTTGGTTAAAATTGAGAAATTATTAATTTAAAAACTTTTTGCAAAAATATGGTAAACATTATAATTACTTGTAACAAAGAAAATTGCTCTTTGCACTTCCTCCTGCAATTGAATGCAAAGTAATTCTAAAATAAAAAAATATAAAACAACACAAATTATCGTAAGATAGAAAATATTATAACATACTGAATTATGTCTAAAAAAGTTTTTGTTTTATTTAACCTCCACAGTAGTGCTATCAAATTAAAAATGATAACATTTTCAAAATCTTAACCTAACTCTTAAGTAATTTCTTATGTTCGTGATGTATGTCGAACTCTTATGTTCGTGATTTTTTAAATTTTATTTGCTAAAGTGGAAAATTAAAAATTTTGATTCCTACTTGATCAACATTTTTTATGATGGAAATACCATCGATAATGCACACTGTGAGTACTTAGTATATAAATATAGATTACCGTGAAAATACATGCAGAAAATCAATGCATGTTCTGAAATTAAATTGAAAACTTGTTAATTCAGTTATTAATGATTATCAAGCAAGTATGTGGAAATACATTTAAAAAAATATAAGGAATAATTTTACCTGGGTTAGCCAACATCAAACTAATTTCCTCTGAAAATAGAATAATATAAACTGGTAAATAAATGGTGTTGGATTTTTTTAACACTTAAATTTTTTTTTTCAACTAGTAATCTATAAAAAAAAATTTTTTTTTAATAAATAATATGACTACCCATCGTTGCATCTCCACAAACAATATGTTTAATTGCAGTCTCCAACCCAGCACGATCTATAAGCAAATATTGGTTTTAGCTGTATACAAAGTTTCAAATAAAATCACAATGATATGTATAAAACTTTAGATCAAGGGTACACAATACTTGGAGGTGACTAGTATACTTGACGATACCGTTAACCCGGGTCAAATGGAGCATTTTGGAAACTGGTAACTCTTTTTTTGGTACCTTTAGTTGTTTTTATAATATTTATTTTTTTGTTAAACAAATTTACAAAAAAAAGTTATAAACTAAATTTCTATTACCTAACATCTTAAATAAATAAAAATAATTATTTCAAAACGGACGCCCGTTCCATTACACCCGGGTTGATGATACTAATCCTATTAAGTTAAATATGAACATTGTCTATAGCCAAATTCTATTGACACTGTCTATAGACTATGTTTTAAGTAAATTATATTTTATAGGTAAGTATAGTATACTATAAGGTTGTTAGGGTATAGCTTACTTTCAACAAAAACTAATTCGATGTATTTGTCTGTAATAAATTATTTCAAACAAACTAATGAAAATTTCAAAAATATGTTATATTTAACAAAAAAACGATACTGACTTGTAATGAAAACTGACTTCGCATAGTCGGCTATGAGGAAAAATTATATATTTTTAAATTTTTAACTACTACGATTAGGTATGTATACAAATAAAATAATTACTTGTTATAAATGACAGAACTGACGGAACGTGTATAATGGCAAGCGTTATTAAAATTAAGTTGCAGTAAACTTTCATAATTTTGGATAATATTAATGAAATAGTTAATCAAATATAATTTTTAAAAAATATATGAATTCTATTAGCTTGTTTTACTTTTTGTATTATAGAGTTTTTCTTGCAAAGCAATTTTATGCGTAATGCGATGAAAATTATTTTTCAGTAAAACATGTTTCCAATTCGAAACGTTTGTACAAATATAACGACATCAACAGCAGAAAACACAAAAATAATTTGTTTTAACGGCAAATGAATAGATTTTCAACTCAAACCTTCGCGTCGGTAAAATATCTTATACTTTATATTATTGCAAATTGAGATAAATATAAACAAATATTGGCTATAGTATACCGTTTTGTTGATAATAACCAAATTCTGAAAGCAAGAAACCAAAATAATAATTGTAAGCAGTATGGTACATTGTAAAAAAAACAATGTTATATAACATATTTTTTCTAACAATCCCATTTTTAAAAAACTAATGTTACTGTTAATTAGTAATCAATACAATTTTATAATTAATAACAAATTTTATTATAGAAATTATTTTGATATCTACAATTGAACTACTTTTTAGTCACCGAAAATTAATTGTTATGTTTATTAAATTTCTAAAAAATAAATTATTATGTGCTTTGCTGCTCTTGATATGAATGTCTTACAGTAGGCCAAAATGTGAATTATTTTTAGGCTGATATATGTTTTAATCATTATTATTTCGGCTCCACAAGGCTGATGCGGTAGATGGAGTTATCATTATTAAAATTATTGCAAGAATTTGGGAAATAATAACTATGTAATCGCCTATTTACGATGTCCACGTGCATATACCGAGTGTTTTTATACTGAACAAACACAGAGTATATTGATACATAACCTAGTGTGGTATAATATACCACATGTATAATATCGTTTATAAAATATATTTTAAAACGGTTAACGTCGTGTAGGTAACTGTCACTGAAACACAAAACCCTATTTAGGTTCAAAACTGCGTTTAAAAACTCGAACGCCCAAAATAAAGGTCCTGTTAGGTTAGATAAAAAGAGTAACTATAACAAATGCATCTGGTGAAAAGAATCGTTAGCTCAAATTATAACTTTTTTATTCAGATACTTGCCCACACGAGGGGAAGAGAGGTAAGGGAGTGCTCGAAAGTATTTTGAATAAAACAACTGCTGGGACTGGGCTGGGCTCCATAATCCTCCCCCATACTCCTACTCCATAATCCATAATGACGTCAGCACTGTGAGACAAAACGTGACGGATAAATTTCCAGAATGACCCTCAGATGTAAGACATGTTCATGTCAAAACCCTATTCATCCAGAGAGGTTAGTAATTTTTTTCCCATTGTTTTTATTTAAGCATAGAATTTGACACTTAAGCTTCATCCAATTTGTTTTAAAAAAATACATGATTTATTCTGTTAACATTAAATAAGAAGCTAATAGTGCTATTTTTTATTAATTTACAATATTTTAAATACCGAATGAAAATAACTGAGTAGGGATTAAAATTCATTTTTTTTTATTTAATTAAATAATAGCCAAAGGTTTTTGTCAAGTTTTTTATAGCCTAATATATTTTGTCCGTGATATCTCTTTTTTGGATATAATGGTATGAAATTTGTTTTTCATTTTACTTGCTTAATTAAGAAGGTATAATTATTTTACACAAAGTTGTTTTTTGCTAAATTATTTATTTTTGACATATTTTTTACAGGTGCTTCTTGATAGGATACTAACAAATGAACATGTTTTTACTCAATACCTAAACACATTTTTTAAACCATGTAAACCATGTACAAATATATCGGTTCAAAACAAACCAGATACGTCTGATGGCTTAGGCTTTACTGCTTTTGATCTTGTAAAATAAAACTGAATTAAAATCATGTCAAAGATAAGTTATTTATATATCAAATAATATTATTTTTTGGAACGAACTGTTTATGTCGTCCGAAAAAAGCCTAAGTTAACTTGCATACTGGTGCTTTGTATTAATATTGTTTTACTGTGTCTGTTGGTGTAAGTTATTTAAAGTTGCTCAAATTTCTGTTGTTATTTCATTTGCATTTCACAGTATTGTTGCACGTTTTTAGTACTTAAACATAATATTCTAACATAATTATGAAATTCAAATGTCTTTATTAGGCACTTTCTAAATTATGTGTTAAAAGTAATGATTAAATATACTAAATGGGATATCAGAAATGAAGATAGAATAATTTATTGTTTTTAATTATATAAAAATACATAACTTTCAAAGTCAAAATAGATTAAATAAGTTGTTCACATAAATCATTTTCGGATATATCCGCGTCAAGGGTTGTTAAACGACGTTTCGGACTCTTTGCAGAGTCCATCTTTAGGGTAATGTCACGTTTTTCCAAATTTTAAAGGTCATTTAGTAAATATTTTACCTACTAGATAAAATATGTGATTAATAGAGTAGATATCTATAGAGGATCTGTAGGCGCTTGTTATGTCTTAACGTAACAACCATAAGATATATTTTAGTCTCACAATCAATTATTATACATATTTTTATATCAGATAACTCTACACAGTCGATATTAAAACAAGTCAAACACAGACACAGAATGCGTATTTTTAATGTTAGTTTCAGAGGCTTCATATTGGGTAATCATTTTTTTAATTTCACATGTGTAACAATACATATTATTAAAAGAGGGACATATTATATTATGGACAGCTGGTTTTATTATTTAAAATACATTTTTTACAATAATTATTGTTTTACGACAAAAAGCAACTTTTTAATACAAAAATGAATTAAAATTGTTGAATTATGACTGCAATGGACAGAATTTCATAAAATCACATACCATTAAGAGTGTTGTTAAATAACTCTAAGCAAAATTGTTTATCATGAAAACATTGAATTAATTGACAAATTTGATGTATAAGTGCAATATTTTAATATGATTAAAGTTATAAAGAAAAAGTAGATGGTATATAAGTTTGTAAAAGCTAGGTACGATTACTGGTACCAAGTCTTAATCTGTTCCTTTAGTGGTTCAAGTCCCATACGAATTGAATCAATTTGTCTTTCCATGACAACTGTGCCACGAAAGCGTTTGTATTTGTAAATCGTGTCATCAAATGAAGTTAATATACAAAATATACCATCAGAGTCAACAATAGCGGTTCTTATAAAGTTTACTGGAAATTTAATACTTCTAACCAAACCTATTAAACGACATATTACGGTGAGGTTGAGGAATTTCGGTGCTTCTCTACCTTAAAAATTAAAAATAATTTTTTTTTAATTTTGACAATTGTAGCTATCAACTAACTATATTTATTTTTCTGTTTAAAATACAAATATTACACTTGTCTAAAAAAAGGGAAATAGTTACATTACTCAAAAAAAACCCTCTGTATATTATAACCTATGATTCAATGAAATTTATTAAAATACATTAAGAAAGAACAACTGCAGTCTGCTACAGAACTTTTTTATTGATGACTTAGAAGCTTTTATATTAGGTTAATTATTATGGAATTTTTTTTTATATTTAATTTGAATTTATGCAATCTGTTACAATGTAGAACAATAAGCATAACAGATGTAGTATTTCCTATTTTATAAATTCATTATTTTAGTAGTGCATCAATTTGCATAATTATAATTATATGCAAAACATGTACACTAAAAAAATATTGAAACCTAAGTGGGTCATTGTATTTACACTATTTAAATATTTTGCGGTTACTCCAACATGGGCATATTGACTGGTCAAGGCAAAATATGTAAATAGTGTAAAACTACACTAATTATTAATAGGTATTTACTTATTGTAGAGAGAAGTAAAGTTTTTGTGACTTCTCCAATTATAATTCTTCTATCTCTTCCAAGCATTAGCAATGTATCATTCCTGATAACTGTGAATATTACAGTGATTAAAAAAAAAGTTAAAAATAAATTATTTACTCTTCAGATAATTGCCTTACATTTCAAAGAACAGTAACAACTGTAAAACTCACAATTATTTATAAGTCTCATATTAAAGCTAAACCATAAGTATAAGTATATATATTGGAAGAAGACTGTTTTTTTTAAATCGAGTGAATAATTTTCTTTAACTTATATTAATATCTATTTATTATCTAAGTCTTTAGTCAGTCTATAAACGCTTTATTACCTTTCTTTGGGTCAAGTTCAGGTACAGAGATATCTGTATGAAAAATAAAAATAAATGTAATTATTTAACAGTACCAACCGAAAACCATTAAATCAATGTAAAATGTTGTACAGTGGTTTGAATTGTGTTTCAAACGATCATTAAGGCTTGTTAAAAAATACATAATAAACCTTCATGGCTTTGAATTCTAATATATATACATATTGGGTAAAACTGAGTAATTAGTAATTTTGAAAATAGCTAACCATATGTTCAACTATATATTTACTTGTGAAATGTAATAATACACTTTGCAAAGCCTCCTGATGAGCAATGGCAATTGATTCTAAGATACAAAAAAAATAATTTTTTTTATGATAATATATTAAACAAAATGATAGTACATTCGATTTTGTCTAATAAAATTCTTTCTTTTTTTTTAAACTCCTCCTCCAACTCAGTTTTTTATTCTTTACAAAATGAGAAATTCTTAAATCTTCAGATTCCTAACTTAGCTTTAAGTAATTCATTGTAATTCCTTGTAATTTGTTTATTGCATTAGATCTACAAAGAAAATTTTAATTTTTAATTTAAAACAATTTTACTAAAAAAATAATCAAAATGTTTTCCTACTCCAAAAAATGCTTCTTTTTTTTAAATAAAGCAGTATATTTTCTATTAATTTATAGAAAGTTCTATTTAAAACCTAAGTTTATACGTTAGTCAATAAATGCTTTAATACCTTCGTCGCGGTCAAGTATAGGCACAGGAAGATCTGTACAAAAAATAAAAGTAATTATTTTACAGAAAAGCAAACACCATTTAATCATTAAAAAGGGTTTTACATTGGTTTGAATTATATTTTAAACGACCACCGCGAGTTGTATTAAAAAAAAACATAGCATAGCTTTATGGCTTTATATTCTAATAGTATATTTCTTTTTTTTTGGTTAAAACTGAATAATTAATAATTTAAAAAATAGTTACATATGTTACATTTTATATTTACATGTAAAATGTGATATTACGCTTTTAGCTGCCTCCTTTTCGGCTTTTTCAATCAATTCTTAAATACAACAAAAATGATATATTTTTCTTATGAAACAAATAGTAATATATTAGATTGTGTCTAAAAAAATGTCTTAAGTGTTGGTAGAGTTGAAGTATAAAATATATACAAATAGGTTACTTGGTAGGTGGAAAATGAATGCTGATTCTGAAATTAAAACAAAGATGTTATTTCAATTTGGTAATATTAATGATTATCAAACAACTATGTGAAAATATAACTAAAAAGTTATAAAGAATATTATTACCCGGTATTGCCAACATCAAATCAATTTTCTCTGAAATAAGAATAATATTAATTGATGATTTAATGATATTGGATTTTTTTTCTACTAGCAATCTATATTTTCATTTTTTTTTCTTTTACATAATAATGACTACCGATCGTTGCGTCTCCAAGGATAATATTTTCAATTGCAGTCTCCAATTCAGCGCCCTCTATGAGCAAATAGTTGTTTGAGTTATATAAAATAATTAAAATAAAATCATAATAATATTTAAAATTATAAATAAAAATCTTTATCATATTCTGAACAAGTCAAACAATTATAGGTAGTTTTTAATTTATTAATCATCTGAAAATCTATATAAAATGTATCTTACTTGTAACAAATGCCCTTTTAATGTGTTCGTCTGTAAGAAATGATTTCAAAACATATTTTGTATGAAAGCGATAAAATGGAAAAAAAACGTATATTGTATAAAAAAAATTGATACTGACTTGTAATGAAAACCGACCTCGCATACCTTGCTGTGAAGAATAAATTAAGCAATACATTTTCTTTTAAGATTTATAACTACTACGCTTAGATACGTGTACAAATAAAATAATTACTTGTCATCACTGACGGAACGTGTACAAAGGCAAGCGTTATTAAAATGAAGTTGCAGTTATACTTCATAACGTTGGATAATATTAATTAATTAATCAATTCAAATAATGTAACTTGTAAAAAAGACATGAATTCTATTAGACGGTTTTGATTTTTGTGTTAGAGTGAGTTTCTTGCAAAACAATAATATATTTATATGCATATTATAATAAAAACAAATGGTATTCGGAACATCTGTACAAATACAACGAACATTTACAACGGCAACAACAGCAGAAAATCCGAAAAAAAAATTCGTTTTAACGTTACATTTTTTAAGTCAAACCAACGCGTCGATAAAATATCTGTACTCATATTGCAAATTGACGACATTTTTATCACATGATATTTATTAGGCACGTCTCTTTTAAACCTACATTACCTAGACAAAGTTAAGTCATTTTAATAATTCAACCTTGAAACTTATACATATATGTCTTGTCTTGGATATTTAAGAAAGTTGTAATGCCCGTATAAAACATACGACCACGACCACTCGGTAAGTTATGTCCTAGGGTAACGGCACCAGTGATTGGCCCTACCCTAATAATTTTGGACAATACAGTGTTTTTTTTTATATCAAGAAATTTTATACTATTGAGTTAAATTTGTTCTTACAAAATTCATTGAAAAAAAATGTAATAATTTGTATAGCAATATCGAATTGATGTTGAATAAAATATATTGTATTGAGAATTATTTAAATATTAGATTTGGTGTTTTATATATTTTCAATCATTTAAACTATTTGGTGAAGTAACATTGTTGAAGATATGAAAATTAAATATTATTGAGTTGATGCGCATGTTCCAAAAGAAAACAAATTTCAGTTTTGAAAACACTGTGGGCATCATTGACACAATAGCGAAATGTACCATAAAATATATAATTTTTTCGGTGTTACAATATGTAAATAATATAATAATATTCAATGTTAACTATTATTAAATCATTAAAGATACAACATGTGTATTTGTAAACATGAAAAATATATACCATATTTCATTATTCATGTTGTTGGTGGTAATTGCCTCTAATTCTTTCCGCCAAGATGCCCAAGACATCACTGGTAGGAGAGAGTACAGAATGACTATAACATACTAGAATAAACTAATAATGAAGACATGGAAACAGTTAGGGTTGTATTAGGAGGGATCGTTGATGCAGCAAAGAGCTTGAATGATCTATATATAAAGCCAATAAAGAATTTAATAATATCACATACAGTACATTGTATTAAACACAACAGAGCAAATATGTTTATTACAGTATGAAATACATTACATCAATTGACAATTTAGATACAAGTTGAGAATATAAATATTATTAAAGCTATATAACAACAGTAGGTACTATACTATTTGTTTAGAGCTAGCTACAATCGCTGGTCTATATTACCATCTCTTTATCCTAAGAGATCCGTAAGTATTATAAGTACTCTATTATTTCGATCGATTCGTATTTCCTTAATAATTGCGCCGTTAGAGCGTTTGTATTTGTAAACACGGTCATCATTTGAAGTCATGTTACACACATCAGAGTTAACAACGGCAGTTATTATAGGTGATGTTGGCAATTTTATACTTCTCAACAAACCTACTAAACGACACAAATTGGTAAAATGGTGGAATGCTGGTTCTTCTCTACCTTAGAAATAAAATAAAAAGTGTTTTTTTTTAAATCTGTCAATTTTACCTTACAACTAATTACTTTTGTTTTTTGTTTAAAATACAACTAATACATTGTATAAAAAATAATTACAATGCTCAGAGTATTCGTATTGTGAAGCCTTAGTAATTAACTATTTAAATGGTGTACACGATTGAACATCCTGTATTTTATGACCTACTATTATTACATTATTCAATGTAATTTATTAAAATATATTTATAAAACAATTTTCCGCAGTTTGCTTCAGAACTATTTTTATTGACGAATTGAGAACCTATATTACATTAGGTTAATTGTTTTAGGTTTTTTTTTTAAAATTAATTTTGATTTATGCAATATGTTTAAACGTAGAACAATAATGCATCTTGCAAAATAGTTAATGTGAGAAATAAATTACACAAATATTGTATACTCATAATCCATTAAAAAATTATATATTAGGATAAGAGTTATGATAAATTTAACTAGCATAATTATTATGATAAAAAAAAAAACAGTGCAAATCACATTAATTAATAATATTTACGTATTGCAGCGGAAAGTAAAGTTTTGGAAACTTCTTCAGTTTTACGTCTTCTATCATCCCCAAGCTGGGTCATTGAATCATTCCCAAATAATTCAATACCGAGAGCTGTAAAAAAAAAATAATAGCAATATTGATCAGAAATAAAAAATGTATCTATAAACTGTAATGTTTTTTTGTACAGCTCGCAAGTAGTTTTGAACCTAAAAAAACTTCTAACACATTATGATTGGAACCAACATTAGTTGATGAGAAGCCAAAGTCAATGGGGATTTTTAAAATCAATTTACAATATGTAAACTTATATTTATAATACGTTTACAGTTATTTATCAGTATCTTATAAAACTATTAGTATAGAGTGGTTAAATGCTTATTATATCCACTCAAAAAAGAGGTGTTGTAACATTTTAATTATACATTATTTTGCATACGTTAGTCAATAATTGCTTGATTACCTTGGTTTGGGTCAAGTGGAGGAACATCGATATCTGTTAGAAAAATAACAAATTTCATTATTTTACAGTAAACTGAAACCATTTAACAAATTTCAAATGTTGTACACTGATTTGAATTATATGTCACACGGTAAGACTTGAACCAAAAATCATAATATTACTTAAGTGGTAAATTATAAATTATAAAAATATATATTATCGTACTTGGTAAAAATTAAGAAATTTTTGATTTTAAAACCTTTTTGCAAAAATATGGTTAACGTTATAATTACTTGTAACACGAAAAATTGCTCTTCGCACTTCCTCCTGCAATTGAATGCAAAGCAATTCTAAAATAAAAAAATAAAAAATAACATATACAATATTAAGATAGAAAATATTATAACATATTAGATTATATCTAAAAAAGTTTTCGTTTTACTCAACCCCCACAGTAGTCTTATCAAATAAAAAATTATTTCATTTTCAAAATTTTTACTTAACTCTTAAGTAATTAGATATCCGTGATTTTTTTAATTTTATTTGCTTAAGTGGAAAATAAAAAATTTTCATTTGAAAAATTCTTACTTGATCAAAATTGTTTATAATGGAAATACCATCGATAATTCCCACTGTGAGTACCTAGTATATAAATAGAGATTACCTTGAAAATGCATGCTGAAAATGAACGCATGTTCTGAAATATAAATTGAAAATTAGTTAATTCAGTTATTAATAATTATCAAGCAAGTATGTGGAAATACATCTAAAAAAATTTAAAGAATATTATTACCTGGGTTAGCCAACATCAAACCAATTTCCTCTGAAAAAGAATAATATAAACTGGTAAATGAATGGTGTTGGATTTTTTTAACACTTAAATATTATTTTTTTTAATAAATAATATGGCTACCTATCGTTGCATCTCCACAAACAATATTTTTAATTGCAGTCTCCAATCCAGCACGATCTATAAGCAAATAGTGGTTTTAGCTGTATACAAAATTTCAAATAAAATCACAATGATATATATATAAAACTTTAGAACAAGAGTACACAATACTTGGAGGTGACTAGTATACTTGACGATACCGTTAACCCGGGTCAAATGGAGCATTTTGGAAGACTGGAAACTCTTTTTTGGTACCTTTAGTTGTTTTTATAATATTTATTTTTTTGTGAAACAAATTTAAAAAAAAAAAGTTATGAACTAAATTTCTATTACCTAACATTTAAAAAAATAAAAATAATTAATTCAAAACGGACGCCTGTTCCATTACACTCGGGTTGATGATACTAATCCTACTAAGTTAAATATGAATTATCAATAGCTAAGTATATTGACATTGTCTATAGCCTATGTTTTAAGTAAATTATGTTATATAAGTATAGTATATTATAGGATTGTTGGGGGTATAGCTTACTTTCAGCAAAAACTAATTCGATGTATTTGTCTGTAATGAATTATTTCAAACAAACTAATGAAAATTTCAAAAATATGTTATATTTAACTAAAAAACGATACTGACTTGTAATGAAAACTGACTTCGCATAATCGCCTATGAGTAAAAATTATATATTTTATTTAATTTTTTAATTTTTAACTACCTTAAGTAGGTGTTTGTAAAACAAAAATAATTACATGTCATTATTGGCGAAACGTTTAAAAAGGCAAGCGTTATTAAAATGCAGAGAAAATTCATAATGTTGGATAATATTAAACAAATAATTGAATTAATATAACTTATAGAATTATATGAATTCTATTAGCTATTAATTATTAGCTAATTATACAAAAGCACTTTAACTTAAAAACAACAATATGCATAACGTGATAAAAACAATTGTTAATAGATCGACCTATTTAAAATAAACTGTCTTTTAGTGAAATATTTCCATATTAGAAGCATTTGCACAAATAAGAACAATTACGACAACAACAGCTGAAAGAAAACACAAAAACCATTTCGTTTTAACGGCAAATGAATAGAATTTTAACTCAAACCAACACGTCGATGAAATATCTGCTTAAACCTCAAATTGTAAATTGAGAAAAAATGTAAAAAATACCGGCTATATATTATAATTTATAGTTTTTATAATAAAAACCAAGATTTTCTGTCATTATTCGCGAAACGTACACAAAGGCAAACGTTATTAAAATTAAAAAATTAAAATTATAGTGTATAAACAATTGGCACTGACTTGTAAAAAAAACTGGGTTTTCTTCCGAATCTTCTGCGAGGAATCGATAAATTTTGAATTATTGTTTTACAAAGTAAGTGTGAAAATAAAATAATTACCTGTCATTATTGGCGAAAAGCTAACAACCGCAAGTGTTATTAAAATGCAGGGAAATTTCATAATGTCGAATAATACTAATTAAATAATTCAAACAATATTATAACTTATTAGTAAAATATGAATTCCATTGGCTTGTTAACTTTCTGTTTTTGGAGTGATCTTCGTGCGACTAGTTGATGTGTCAATCGAAG